AGCCTCGACCTTGTGCAGAATGCAGCAGCCAGACTTCTCACTAGTTTTAACAGAAGGGAGCACATTACCCCAGTGTTAGCATCCCTCCAGTGGCTCCCTGTGGATTTCAGAATTAATTTCAAAATGTTACTGATTTACTATTTCGGGTTTGTGTCCAGCTACATTGCCAACAGTTTTTAACTCCCCCATGAGTCTCCCTGCAGCCTTAAGATCCTCGGACAGGTCCCTGTTTTCCGTTCCAAGGTCAGGCGAGCAGAATCAGTATTGTCTTCTTATCTGTTAGCTTAGCTGTTAGCTTAGCTGTTATCAGTGTGAACAGAGCACTTTAATGATTTGCACTTGTTTTGAAACTGTTTTAGTCGATCGATTTCACAGTGACATTTGTTTACTGTTTTATTTGTTTTATTTTTGTCTTTTAATGTTGTTTTATGTCTGTATTTGTCTGTGCACACTGGAGACTTTTGCTAATGTTATTCCAATGTGGGTTTTTTTAACTGCAAATGGCAAATAAACTGAATCTGAATCTTAAAACCCACTTTTACCGAACAGCTTTCCGTCTGTTGTAAACTCCACATACCGTTGTCTTTGTTTTGTCTCTCTTGTGTCTTGTGTCTGCTTCATTCTCCTGTATTTCTTATTGATATATTTGATTATTATGAAAACTGCATTATAAAACTCTGGATTTTTTTTTTTTTTTTTTCTTTCATTAAATTGCCCTTTTTGGAGTCTTGCATTTTGGGTTCTTCGTCTTTTTGAAATGTGACAACAAACTTCAAATGTATTAAAATTCTATTGTAACATACTATTTAATGTTTGAAATGCAGAGGATTTAAAAAAAAAAAAAAAAATAGGTACAGGAATACTTTGGGTTGCAATTTTGAAACTCTTTAGAAAGCCCTTTTTTCTTAACATGATAACATTTTTTGTTCTACAGTGTTGCAGAGAAGCACTCAAAACAAGATCACATTCTGTAAATATTGTTATGCCTTTTTAAATAACATATTGGTGAATGACGGCTTCTACAGTGTTGCAGAGAAGCACTCAAAACAAGATCACTTTTCTGTAAATATTGGTGCAATGACGGCTCTATCGCTGCCATGGTAAAATGATCATCATAAATTATACAGCATATTTTATTCATTAAGATATTCATATAGTTGTGAATTGAGCTAATCCCAAACACATGCTAGAAATGTAAAAAAATATACAAAATGTCCTCCATTTAATATAGTTTAAAAACGCAAACAAGATGTAATTGGACTAAACATTGTAATGTCTTTTGACTGGTTCCTCTTATTGCATATGGACGTTTATATTATTACTTGGAGAAAACAATTAAAAAATCTTGCGTCATCGACCAAATACCAGGTTTGCTGAGTACGCCGATTTGAACTCAAGCTAGCATGTTGGAGCAAATCTTTGTTCACGAGCACTTCCCTATTGGGCTTCATGTACCTGTAGCTCTCCGTTGGAAAAAGGTTGGAGACCCCTGATAGCTCTGTGAATTAAGCTCTGTGAATTATGGCTTTAAATCTGCCCCAGTGTTTGCCTTACTGCAGTCTTAGTTCATTGAAGTTAAATGGTTGAATTCAACTAAAGTGAAACATTTAGCTCATTGATTAACAGACCAATGAATAAACTACACTTCGATCTTTTGCAGTGACAAATTACCTGTTTCCATTAACTCCACACACTTTAAAATGTCCTGGGAATAGTGCTAAGATACTGGGAAACTGTGCAAACTCAATGTAGACGTTAAAGTTCCATTCAAAACCATGTCCATCCCACTTAGAACACTTGCTAGATATAAAGCAAACGTTTAGCTGAACCATTAAGAGTATGGTAAGAAATAGTACTGAGAGTTTTTGTTTTTCTGGAAGTGTCGATATTTTCTTACACGTTTTAACATGAAATGGTAAATTCAATTTTTGTCCACAGTAAAAAGTGTTTGATGTGACATAATGTAGATATTCAGACCACTACGCCATGTGACTCACTATTCGACACTTTTGGCTGAGAGTGGATTGACTGAGCACTACTTGACTTTTCCGTATAAAAAGGCTGATCTGAAAAAGTGATAGACTCTCATGCTTTTTACTCCTAAGGATGTTCCAAAGAGGCTAATAAAATGGGAGCAAAATATGGTTTTTTATTTGCAGTACACATTTTCACTGTTATAAAATCCGGTTCAAATTACGAGACTTTGCAAACGCAAATTTATTATGCTATTACTGTTTTAACATGCCCATGCTTGTTTAACTAATATTTTTTTCCACTTAAAAGGGGTTAAGGGAGATGTTTCTACCAATTAAAACATAATGTGTACACAAATAATTGGTTATTTCCCTGCTGCTAAGCAGGGCAGGCCCTGGTTAGTACTGTGATGAGAGACCTCTGGAAACACCAGCTGCCACAATAGGGTGGATGCCTTAGGCAAGACACTTCACCATCATTGCAAGTGTGAGTCTGGTGTGAATGGTTGATGGTGGTCAAAGGGGCCGATGGTGTGTGTAATAATGATGTCATGCGTCTTTGAGTTTTCAAAAAGCACTATGTAAAACCCATGCATAATTATTATTCAATCATTGTGCTCGGCCACAATCAAGCGTCCCCTTTTGCCGTGAGGTGAGAATAGAAGTGCTGCATAATAATTTTTCTTGTGGTTTGAAACTTAGGTACCCAGCTTTTATCATATATCTGCTTAACACGCCCCATGCTGCTGTATTGGAAAAGCATGTGTGGGGGACACTCACGTGGTAAAGGCAGGGTTGTACTTGGCTCCCAGGTAGTAGGAGTACAAGTTGAACATCCCGATCATAAAGGCCACAAACACCATGATGAAAATGACCATGAACTTGAAGATGTCTTTGACCGTGCGGCCCAGGGAGATCTGCAGCGGCCCGAAGCTCTCGTTGGCCGGCAGGATGTAGGCAATACGTGAGAAGCTCAGCACCACGGCGATGGCGTACAGGCCCTCAGAGATGATCTGCGGGTCGGAAGGGCGCCACTTGTTCCTGGCTGTGGAGGAAGGAGACAGCTCTTAAATTGCGGTCATTCTGTTTGCTGAAAAAGATGTGCTTTGCGACACTAAAAAAGTAATATTGGCTTTGGGAAATGTGTTTTTCACAATCAGGGTCACGGTGAAGTTGCGGCAAAAAGGACAAATGGGTGAGTCACACTCAAGATGCAGAGAAATGACAGCAAATTAGAAAGTAAACAGACCATAGACACAAAATTCTGCAACGTTAAATCGATTAAAAACAAAAGGCACGCTATTTTTATGCATTAAAATATATTTAACTGGGAAGTCTGGGTGTCTCTGCTTGTCACTACCTGCCAACTAAAAAATAGCAGATGATAATAGATGGATGAATGTTCCAAAAACTAAAAAACATAAGTCATAATAACCAGTCATATACAAATATTGTTACTATTGTAAAGAGTAATTCGAAAAATAATGCATATTGTGGTTTATTCCATGATAACATATTACTAATTTATCAGTAATATGTGCATACTCACAAACATATCTTATGTTTATACCTATTCATGTGTACACTTTTTTAATACTTTGTTTCTTTATTACTTTAAAGTAAAGAGTTGTGAGTTATACTTGTTCTATACTAAATATTCACTTATCTCGTGTTGTGTGCTCCTCATTCCTACTGTTCTGTCTGTAAATTGTGAAGCAACACTGACATTTCCCCACTGTGGGATGACTAAAGGATCTTTTCATCTTCATAACAACATAGTCAGGTTGTACTGTAACGTTACAATTAAAAACTACACTGTAAAAATGACATATAGTAACTAAAAACAGTTTGGTTTAGGTAATTTTTTTCTCAATACAAGCTTTGCAAAAAGGACAAGCAAAGATGTCTTATACAGGCCAGAAACAAGGCCAGTCGACTTGTGACTTTCTGCATCACTAGTCTGTTATAACAGAATCAGTCCAGCAGATGACAGCACTGATGAAGGTTGAGCCCTGGACAGCAGTCATCATCAAACAAGCCATGGATTTGTGCTCACAATTACGGCTCATTTGAAGAGCATGTGATGCCACGGATGTGATTACTGTGCTATTTTTGTACAATCGCTGAACAGTGAAAAAACACAAAAAGACAAACACTGTGGCAATTTAAATTCAATCACTGCAAAACAGCCACAGTTTTCTCTGGCTGACATCCCTGCAGATCTTGTCCAATTATGAACATGTGAAGATCTCTCCTTCACAATAATTGAATATGGTTATGCTGACAAACAATGCAAATTCTACTTTTTATTTCTTTTTCCAAATCAAAGCTGCAGAAAAATATTAATCCGTCATGAAGAGGGACTGTGCCTTTGCCATCATGTTTGGTTGTTTTGAGAGACAGAAGCATGCTGTACAAACATATCAAGTAAAATATATCTTTTAATCTATTTTTTCCCTTTCTGAAATCACTTACAAAACAAAATGTCCACCTTTTTTGTTGTATGTGATATAAACGGTCATAGATTACACATCACTGATTGTAACCACAAAAGCAGGACGCATAAGGATGAACTACGGATGCTCAGAGAGCTGCAATTTGTTCAGAAGGCAATCATTTCATAGTTTGGACATCACTGTATTAAAATCACAGCATGCAGATATAATCAATCAATCATGATCAGAAACAAAATATGAATATTGAAAAATACCAAATTCTCGATACAATCTGTAAAACTGTACAGTGACTTTTGAATATTTTGAATGTTCTTAAAATTATTATTATTCACAAATTTAAATATTGTTACTGTTAAAATAATGTTATCATGTGTGATTTTTTTTCTTTCTTGTCAAGTCTCGTGAGACTTTGGGGCTGAGATTGTAAGTTCCTATACTATTTATCGTACTACCTGCAAAAAGTATTGACAAATAAGTCAAAAATTGCTCAAATTTTGCAAAATGTATCATATTTGCCTTTTGACTGCCTCAAAACAAGATTTGCCAATGGGACAAGCAAATCTTGTTTGAAGCAAGTCAGGATGTACTCAAATTAAGATAAACTCTATTCAAGCAATTATTCCCACATATTTTATCATTTTTTTGCAGGGTTTATTCAGTAACCCTCTGTTCACACCGTGTTACAGTAAACTCACCAAAAGTGAAATAGGCCACTTCCTCCGGTAGTGAGGCGTTGCTGAGGTCCTCGTCCGGCACGTGCAAGTCCACATACTGTTGAGCTTTGGTCGCCTTGAGGAAAGCCATGAATCGTGCGGTGAACGATGCAGCAAAGATGGAGAGCATCCCAAAGTCCAGGACGTTCCAGAGGTGATACACATACTCCCTGGGCCCATCGCTCCAGATCTCCTTACACTCAGACCAGATCATTCCTGTGCAAAACACATGCAATAAAATGATGAATATAGAAGTTTACTGTAACATTTTTAAACATTTCTGACAGATATGCATAATTGCGCCACCAAATAACACTGTTGAGACATAATATTGTGATGGAAGCACTGGCAAATTTACAAACAAAAAACCATTAAAATCTCACATTTAAAATGTAAATTTGGATATTTCTAATTTAATGGCCTTAACCATCCGTACGCTCCGCTCAATCATCATTTCACTGCATGTAACGTCTGGGTATGGTCCCTGTGTTAGCGAATACAATCAGTTGAATTTCGACCGACCTACCAGCGAGCGCAGAAGGCAGGTGTTGTAGTTAGTTTTGGGTGACGTCAAGAGTGTGCGTTGAACGGGCAGGTTGTAGTTTGGCAATGGCGAAAAATGCGATAGTAAAGTAATCCGGTCTGGTTCTATCAAGAATATGGTGATGTTTAGCAAATGTAATCGCTGGAAAAAATTGTGGCGCTACTCTCCACGGGTTCCGTAGCGGCAAAGGAGATGGCTAGGCTAAATGCTAAATGCCAACAACAGACTCAGGTGCACTACATACGTCACGGTAAACTCAGATCCAATCGTTTCAATCTGCAAAAGGAGTTAAACCCTCCCACCTGTAAAAGGAGCTCAATGGAGCACCTCCAGACCTTAGTACGAAATGTCATTTGTACTATGGTGTGGTACGACCAGGCTAACAATGCTCCGAGTTCATGAACTCTGCAGATATTTTTCCATTCTCTCTGCACGGTGATGACAGAAGCAAGACGCCGAACACACTGGCACATCAAAGTCCCCAAATCAACACCATCCATTCTCTCATTACATTCATACCTATTGTAAATGTTTTTATGAGAAAGGCCTGGAGGTGCATCTAACCGTTGCGCCACCGTGCCACTCGTTATTATCATTATAACATCAAAATTGATTTTAAAAAGCACAAAAAGACAAAAGATATAGTGATCAATTCATGACACAATCGACCATTAAAACAAAAGTGGGAGTCCAAGGTTTAATTTTCTCCTCTGTTATAAAACAGAGATGTCAAAAAACATAAATGTGGATCAACAAAATGTTTCAGCATCAGTCTATCTGTTGAGAAGCTCTGCGTTATGGTCAGGGGAGTGAGAGAGCGGTTTGATCAGGATATAACTTGTGTTCTATCAATGCTTGTTTGCAGAACACACAAACTTTTCAAGACAGGGAAATGTACATCCAAAACAGAAACTTATCTTTTCACCCACAGCTGCATCTTTTCACAACTATGCAGATACCAACATCAAACTTGCAATTGGCACTGGGAAATTACTGTTTGGATCACAGGTGTGCACAAACACATCGACAACCACTCAGTCTTTCTCCATCCACAGACAAAACAGGGTGAAAATTGCTTGGTGAAAAAGGGCCCGATCAGTATCATCGCTACGACAATTACCAGGCTTCGACGCACGCCACTAGAATCACAATTGCAGGACATCAATAGCCTAAAATAGTAAACACCCTGAAGCAGATGTCGACACAAGCTAATAGATCCACAGATGGAAATGTGGCTTCAATTCAAATAAAAGTGCAACAGTAGAAGTATATAGCCAACTTACACAAAATGGAAATTGTATTTCAAACCCAGATGGGCAGCAGCTGTGGTCCGACATTTTGCCACTGGCTACAAATTTGTCACATTTGTCAGCATGTTCTCTACTCCTATTTCCCCATGGCTGCATTTTTGGAACAATCCAAATTCTATCAGAATGTAATTCCAACTTTAAAATGTGTCAATAGTTTTTACTATTAACAGCCACCTGGACTGACGGAAGACATGCCACAAGGAATCGTAAAAACACCATTTTTTATTTTTATTTTTTTTTAAAGTTTGACTTCTGCAACAAACTGCAAACCACAATTTTGACTTTAGAAGCATAAGCTGCCTTTTTAGTATGATGAGGACAAATAACCATTAGCAATCCAACATCAATATAACTTAACAGTGTGGGTGGCAAATATTAATTACTCACAATGAAACTATTATTGTTTAATTATCAACAAAATAATGTAATTAAATCTGGGACATCTGTAATTCAAACTGCGAAAGGAAGAGTGAGGGAATTCTTCTCTATAATGTGATCATTTAAGATCCCTGTGATTTATCAAACATATATTACAAACTAAATCTTTGGATTGAGGTCAAATAACTATATGTTATGAAATAAACTGGTTACGTTTTATTTCATAACATAACACAAACCACAATAGTTTTCGTCTGTGTCCATCTCCCTCACTCTGAGTGGTGACATGTTTATTACTCTCTTGTAATGTAGACTGTTGCACTTGAAACTGCATACATTCTGATCCTCTACAGTATGTGCTTCTGAAAACCGTATAAAAAAACTTGAAAAAAACTACAAAAATGCCCTGGGTGTTTTTTTGGTCCCCATCCAGCCCTGCTTGTGTCCCTTAAACCTGCCCCTTTGACGAGTGTCAGGAAAACATGCTCACATCAAAAGGCAAATATATGTCTTCGCATGGCAGCGAGAGACAGTGAATTCTCCACATGTCACATATTAGGAAACTTGGCAAAGAAAGTATGTAAAACCCAGGGGAGGTGCTCAGTCAGATGACTGAGGGAAGAGCAATGGCAGGGCATATGTAAATGACTCAAACATGCATGAATCAGGCTTATAAACAACTTTCAGTATTTAAATGACAAGGGGAAACAGATACAAGAGTTTTGCTTGGTACACATGCACAACATGGGTACCACGACATTAAAGGTGTAACAACACCACATCGTAAATGTTTTTTATCATCTTGCATACAGTATAATAAAATCCCATACCTAGGACCCACTTCATGATGAGCATCTCTGTCCAGGAGAACTGTGTGGTCTTGACCCTGAAAACTTGGCGGGGGTGGTCCGTGATGGTCTCGTTGGGCAGGTTCTTGACTCCCTCGAAACGGTCCGAGGCGTTGATCACCAGCAGACCCAAGAAGATGGTGAAAGAGACGGCATGAGCAACGAACTTCATGAAGGGACTGCGCAAGATCTGACCGAGCTAAAGAGAGAACAGAACCATAAGCAGCAGTCAGTTGTAGATCAACGTTTGTCTTTTGAACGGTCAAAGCTATACAATAACTATTAATACACTGTATACTTGGAGAGGACAGAGCGCTGACGTCATCCTAGTGTTTGCAGAACGCAGAAGAAGCCAATTTGACATTTGAACATAAGCTAACTGTTGCCAATTTCCTTATGTGGGCATTTGCAGTGTCACGCTGTAACAAGGCTAGACGTGTTGCTAAGATGGTTTGCTTCGGTAAGCTGGACTTTCCCCATGAATGATTTATACATCGATTTTATGTGGAGCTTTTGGAACAGTTCAATACGCTTCACGTTCCATTTATTCTTTCACTCCATACACAGTGGGAGTCATAGAAAAGTTTCAAGCCCAAAATGATGAGTGCAACACAAACTGTTACTGATCAGGAGAAATTCACTTCTATTCACGTTAGTCAGTGGGAGCCCAAACTTCGTCTATGAGCACTTCCCTATTGGGCTTTGTTATGGGGATAGCGTTGTCAATCTTTTTACAGTCCATGTAACTGCCTGATTATCATAAAAAAGAGGGAACTAGAGGGAATTAAGTTGGATGCCTGCCACGAATATTCTCGTATTCTTTAAAAAAATTACAAAAAAGAAATATTCAAAAGAAACCTAATTAGTACACATAATTTTTAACAAGCTGCTATGCTAATCACACGTCTATATCAAAGCGTTGCACAGCAGCTGTTGTGATCTGTGTTTATGCTTATTACCAGTCTCGGTGACACACAGAGAGACACTTCTTGGGGAACAGTGCCATATGGAGACCACTTTGAGCACTACACCGGGTGGTCTTCAACACACCGGGTGGTCTTCAACACACCTCACTGTAGGCCAGAATAATCTGAATGCATAGATAGTTGAAGATGACACACACACACACACGCGCGCACACACACAGAGAGACAGACGCACACTCTTTGAACCCCCATAGGCTTTTAGGAACTGAACATTTGCCCGTTTCTAGACCTGCTGTGTTCAATATTAACAGCCCACAGGGTATCCTTTCTGTGTGAAATACCATGTCCTATTCCAGTTCCTTTACTGCACGGCCTGGTAGACCAGAGGGGGATGGAGGCTGTCAGGTCCAATCTCAACCCTCAAATATCCAGTAAACCTCTCCTTCCCATCAGGATGTGACCTGGTCCTTCATTATTACCACGCTCCACGCAGATAAGAGCTAGTCTAGGTCTTTGGAGAAAGAATGATGGCCTGATCAGGTTTTGATGAGTGTTATCGAGAGAATACTGTAGGAGCTGGGTGTGATGGGATCAATACTGATCTGAGAGGAAGTGGAATCGACTAAATATCAGGAAAGAAGCTGGTGGATGGCAACTGAGAAGATGGATGGATCTTCTTGATGTAAAAGCAGGGTAATACTAAAGTGTGACTTTAGTAAGGAGCATGTTCACTGATAGTAGAGAGTTTTAAAATTAGACCATCCATCTTCTCAGTAGCCTCACCACCTTTGCATTGTCAGTAGGCAAACAATGTCAGGAATATACATACACATTGTATATACACAAGTGGTGGTTTTTGTGTTTTGTTACTGGCTTAAATGATAGAAGAAGTGAAGAACCTCACATCTAGTCCCTGATCTAATCAGAAATAGCAGGATCTTTCTTGTAAGGTCTAATTCAATATGTACTGTCTAGTCAATCTGCATTTAACGAAGATTGCCACTCTGTCTTGTGCATATTGATTGTTTCAACAGCCATCGCAGGATAAGTAAAGCAAGAGTGAGTTTTTACACAAATATGAGGTTTGCATTTACTGGTGACAGAATAAAGATAAGTTATTAGTGAAAAAAGGCAGTAATATGAGAGAAGAGCGTGACATGTACAAGTCATACAGACCAGTGGATCCTTGTCAAATGGATTACAATTTGTGACAGCAGGTTAGTATTAGCATTAATGAAGAGAGCTGCCAGCCTGGTGTCACTGTGGTAACCCCATCGATTTTAGCCCACAACATGTTATGGAATTGCATTAATTCAGTAATTGATTTTGTGTGCTGTGCCATGGGAGGGGACCCGCAAACAAGAACATTTGCTCAGATGCATTTTGCATTTAAAATGAAGACTAAAAGATCCTTTATTACTCACAACATAAATTAACATTAATTATATAGCAACACTTCTTAAAATAACAAAAAAGACTATATTTATCTTAATAAGACACAAATTATAAACAGAACACATATAAAGAACACACTCAAGTGCAAGAATACTGAAGTAATAAGTCATTAGCTCTGTACATGTTAGCAGCATGAGGCTCTGGGCTAAACATGAAGTGACAGTGGACATTTATATATTCAATACTCTTGACACAGTTATTAATCTTCGTTGACAACATGACAACTCTTCACTGCTCTGTGTTAGGGCAGCATACATCAATATTGAAGACACATTATATCAATAGAAGTTAGCCTCTCTGTTAGACACGCTTTCTCTTTCTATCTTTGCGTTTGTGTCGTCTCCCTTCATCACTCACTTTAGATAACAAACATGTAGCTGCCCAGCGTGTAAGTTTAAATCTGTTTGAATGTCTTCTGTCTAACTAGCTCACATATGGATGTGCACAAAATGTTTCATTAAGACCAACAACTGTGTGTGCGTACGTGTATATGTGTGTGTGTGTGTTAGGGCTGTTATCTTTAGTCTTTTAGTCGATTCATTGGTCGATAGTTCAGTCCAAAAATTTTAGTCAACTAATTATTTCATGCAAAATGCAGAATTTGGTTTTTTACATTCAACCAAGGTCTAACTCTAAATTCACATTTTCAAATGATCAAGTTACAAGTATACTAAGTAGTAAATATTTCACACTGTATTACTAAATTGTGGAGGTTTTGCCAGTACAGTTTGGGACAGGGACGTAAAACCTTTAAGACCATTTAACTTCCCCCCCTTTTCAGTCGACTGATTGATAGACAGGCCTTGTGTTGAGAATAAGAATTTCTTTGATCATGAGTGTGTGTGTGTGTGTGTGTTCAGCCAATTACACATGCTCTTATGAACAGAGACTAATAACTTATTCATAGCTCATAATGAAACTGGAGTGTGACAATACCACACTAATACAAGAAACATTTTATGGGGAAATAAAGACTAGGAATTTTTAATACTCAATCGTTTCTTCTTCTTCCTCTTAGGATATCTCCAAAGCAATTACACCGGTGTCTCAGTTTTACCTCTGTCTCACTATGACAGACAAAACATATTCATCTTTTTTAATTCGCCCCAATTGATGTGAGATGTGGTTTGATTTGAGTCGGATCCTAAAATGTATTCAATGAGCGAGAAAAAAGCTGATTACATTGACTTGATCAGCAGCTGTTTGGTGAATGTTCTGATAAAACACATGATTTTCCCACTTGATGAAAAATTATCTGTATTGTAAGAACCTCTTTTAGCACGCTAAATTTGAGTCTAGGACACTTTAGTGTTATAAACCCTGTGGCCTTAAAGTGATAGTCTGTAACTCTAAACGAATTACAAATTTTAAGAATTGTATTAAATTGACCTCCTGGCCTTAAATGTTGATAAAAAATAAGTCATTTTATGAATTTTAATATTACGGGTAAGTCTAGCTATAGTCACGGTGCCGTCGAGGTTAACCAATCGAGTGATGCCAAGGGCTGTCAATCATCGCGCTGATGCTCGTAGCTGCGCGCATGCTCAGTTGTTTGTTTTCACGGAGCCTCCGAATCAAGCCTCCATTATTAGGCTCTGGAACAACATGAAAACTGAACAAAGAATTCTGAACATCCACGCTGAGTTACCCATTTATAATTTATATACTGAACCTATATCCATAATCAGATCCTCCGCAGAGGTGTGTATAATTATGTATAATGTGTTCTCTGATTAACATTTAAATGTGTAACGGAAACGTAGGCGTAGACCAATCAAAAAGGAAGGGGGAGGAGCTTGCGTCGTTTTTTTTTCAAATCAAGTCCCTCGCTTTCTTCTTTTCTGACAAACTGCAGACAATCACGTTAAATTACCTCAAATATATGTAAATTCTTATTAAATTAATGTATGGCTAGGTTAAAAATAGCAAAAACATTGTATATGTTACAGGTGAAAGACGTAAAAGTAGAATATTGTTCAAAAGTCCATTTACATCTGTAATTCAACGTGCGTACCATGTGAAAGTTAAAATAATAATGATAATGCACCGATTTTACATAGCGCTTTTTTGGACACTCAAAGACTCTTCACATGTCATTATTCTTTCACTCCATACACAGTACAATAGCCACAGCTACCCTGGGGCACACTGACTGTAGCAAGGCAACCAGTATGTGCCATCGGAAAGTATATGACATATTACACCTAAAGTGAGATACATTGTTATAGATTGTAATAATTTTGATGATTGGCATAACTAATAAAAACCCCAAACAAAATATCAGAGAGAATGCGAATATTTTGAACATGGACTATGAGCTATGATATCTAAATAAAGGAGTCAATGGACTTTTGAACTAATTCACAGAGTTTCACCTGCACATGAAAATAAAAAGTTTATATACATGTACATATTATTGCCCATATGGGCAGACAGTGTATCAAATGCCACAACAGTTTGAATCAGTAAATCTTTAAATACATTTTAGCTCAAACTTTGATCTATCCAATGCCCTCTCGAACCAATGCTGTTTCATCCACTTCTCAAATGGCCCAGTTTTCACACACATGTGGTTATCTGACAAAGTGTAATGTACAGTAAGGCAACTCCTTGTGTGACCAGTTTTTTCATCCTCACAGACATACAGTATAACATTAGCTGCTCTCTCTCTTGTTTTCTTGGCTTCATTATTATATTTCCTCTCTGTAACACATTCTCCGCTTAAGCAACAGTTATGAGGATAGATGAGGAGATTTGCATAACCGTTGCTCCTGTCTGTGTGGCTGTGTCGTATGCAGTCACTCCACAGATTGTAATTTGCTTGATGGAGTATTAACAAAATGTGATAAAGTGCCTTAGGGTCTGATAATCACTTTTAGATTAATGCTGGTCAATGAGAACTCTTCCGTTGCCACACCAGCAATTTATCATTTGACACAGAGTAAATATTTTGACAAGAAGATGCATAGGCCCTCAGGTAGAAGTGACATTTGCAGAATGCTTAGAGCACAAGTTTGGAAATGAGAATACCGCTGCATATTAATCACTATGTAGCTTGACATTGAGCAATCCTTAAACTAGTGTTGGAAAATAGGATATTTACATTTTCTCAGGTCCTGGTAACATTTCTTTTAACCCTTTGTTACAAAATTACTAACATAATTTGTAATTTCATAATAATTAACATATTAGCCAATGGTATAATGATCCTTGAATAAAAGCTGCTTGTGAAAGCCCCATCAGACCTATGAAGCTAAGCAGGGCAGGTCCTGGTTAATACTATGTTGGGGGACCTCTGGAGAACACCAGGTGCCACATTGGGACAGCTGGAAAGTGTCAAACTGTCTTGTGTCCTTGGGCAAGACGCTTCACCATCATTGCCTTGTATGAGTCTGGTGTGTGAGTCAATGATTGGTGATGGTTAGAGGGTCTGATGGCACAAACTGGTGGTCTTGCTTCTGTCCGTCTGCCCCAAAGCAGCTGTGATTACAAAAGAAGCTCCGTGTATGAAGAGAAGAAAAATGCCATGAGAAGTGTATGCCTATGCATTATTATTAGTGCTGTGTATTGGAATATTTAAAGTGGATATATGTAATCCAAAAATTTTATGCATAGTATTCACTTGTTGCCACTCCCCCGCACACACAGCAGAGTGTGCAGGGTTTATGGTAGCGGCTTGTGAGAGGGTGAGTCTGGGATGAGCGGACGCCCCATCCTTTAGTTTCCTGTTTCCTACACGTTTCCTGTTTCCTACATGGCATAGACAGAGCACTGTGGCAAGAGCTCTGGTGTGCACTATCTGTCCTGTCCGGTGCACACTGTTTTTGTTGTTGTTTGTAAATAAGGTTCTCTTATCTTATCTTATTTTGCTATTTGTGTTTGCATGGATGGAGATAGGGAGAGTGTATCAAGGCTTTACTGATAGCAGTTATTCACTTCCATACTGATGCAGTGATGCTAACAATGAACTTCCTCTCTCACACGAGCACAAGGTAAACTTGTGTGCTTCTCTCCAGTGTGTCTCATTACCTTGCTGCATGGCACAATCCAGTAGGCAATAGCCAGAAAGGGCAGCCCCACAGCGACTCCCAGGACAGTCCAGCACTTCACCCCAACAGACTGTTGCCTCAGGCCAGGCAGGTTCTCGTACCAGATAGTGAGCAGCTGCTGCTGGCAGTTTGGATGGGCCACAAACTGTCAAGAGAGACGCAAGACATGTGAGAAAAACATCATTATTATTTTATAACGTCTCTAGAGTGTATGCCCTTCAAAGGCTTATCTTTATTTTCTCCAATATGTTGTAGATGTAGACCAGGGAAAAGATTAGCAACAATGCTGTGTCAATTCAGAGTTCTGGAAGACAGCTTTGTGTCATTCTTTAATGTACACATTACACATTTTGTATTGGATGTGCAGAGACCCTCCAGAGTGGAGGGTGCATGACTCATTCATTCATTAATTTTCTACCCCTTTATTAGTCAATTTCTGGGTTGGGGGGTGACAATGAGAGCTGCCTCCCAATGCTCGTAGCACCAGTCCTTTGCTGATCCTCTGCAGTGAGTCCACAGGAAGATTTGGTGTTTCAGTGTGAGCTTCAGGGTTAAGTGTCTTGCCAAACGACAGAACAACAGGGAGCAGTTGGACTAGGTCCCAAAGTGGATTCAAACCCACGACCTTCCAGCCCGAAGGCCAATGCTCTATCAACTGAGCTACTGTTGCCCCCCTCATCAGTCCTGTCCTTATTGTATTTAACTTATTGTATGTAACTTTTGAGTTAATTTGAAGTTGTATTTGTTTATTTTATGTTTACTGCTCAACTTAACTCTCCTGACCTCTATGGGGGCTTCCTTCCTTGACTACAGGATGTTTTTTAGTGACAAATACACTCACTGAGGCCATCACAGAACAACTGTGATAATACTGAGACACACAGATGGCCTCCATTTAATCATCAGGACAAGATGTTAGCATTCAGCCGTCATTAGGGAATGTGCAAAGGCTATTGCACGCAGAGAAATGCTACGTAAATACTAAATCAACAGATGGAAGCCCAATTTTTCAGTAATGAATAAAACCAAAAAATACAGGTTTACACCGGGTGCACTAGTTTCCCCAACCACTGTAAACATATACAGTACAATGGGTCATGGTGTTTGGAAATGAAAATCAGCCCAAGGCTACAATTTACAGCACTGCTGTTCATAAATACATTCACCAATGCTCTACTCTTATTGAGTCATTAATAATGTCATATTTCAATGATTGTGTTGAAGTGTGGGGAAACTGTTGGGAGTTAGAATTAGTATGTAATGTCAACTAGACATACAGTAATTCAAAGCCACTTCACAAATAAAGTTCAGAACATCTGAAAGCTGCCACACAATGTAGAAAATGTATTTGATAATAGAGATGCTCACTATAAATATAGTCTAAGAGGAAGTGAACAAATGTATGTTCAAGAACAGAATTAAAATCAATGAGAAATAAACAACCAAATGAAGTACTAAAGAAATATACCTCCAGCTCCTTTTCAAACTATTCTTGAGTGCAGACGTCACCACAGTTTATGGGTCTTCACAGCTCAAACAAAATGTGTTAGAAATGGAATTGTCCCTGTCCAGTCTCGATACAGTTCTGCCATCCCAAACAAACCATTCAACCCCTGACACGTAACACAATGTTACAGGGTCTTTCACAAGAACAAACAATAATCCTACTGCTGTTGTGATTTAGGGCAATACAAAAAACATTTAATTGCATTGAATACTCTTTCTATAGCTATCCCAAGCTTGATGTACACGGGATAATTAGCTGATAGTATCAATTACACAATTTATACAGTATCTTGTTTTCAAGCCTGGCAAAGGACTTACATCAATCTTTAGGTAGGTATAGTTCAGTACTTCACGATATTTCATAGTTATATTATGATATCAATACCTTAGATCTAGCCTGGTCTTACCACACCATGGTACAAATTTCATTTCGTACTTGGTCTTGATTTGCTCCATTAAGCTCCGTTAACAGGTGGGAGGGGTTAACTCTTATTGCAGATTTAAACGATTGGATTTGAGATTACCGTGACGTACGTAAAGCACCTGAGTAAGTCGCTAGCCTTTAGTCTAGCATCTCCTTTGCCACCAACGGAGGCCGTGGGGAGTAGAGCCACAACATCTTTGCTAGCAATGAAGTCTGTTGAACATTCCTCTTGCTATGGCTTCAATTTCTTGATATTTGGGAGCCGAACCAGGACGGATTACTTTATTATCGGCGCAAACTCTTGACGTCATGATACTTACCTACAACACCCGCCTCCCCCGCTCACTGATTGGTCGGATGGGATCCAACCGACACTGGGGGCAGACCCAGACGTACATAAAGGGAAACAATTCACCGGAGTTTACTGATGGCTAAGGCCAGGCTAACTTAGATTAGTGTTGTGGCACGTCAGTGTGCCTTGAGATATTGTTTGGTGTGTCTTTGGCAACAGTGGCTCAGTTGAGCATTCGCCTTTCAGCGTGAAGGTCGTGGGTTCAAGTCCACCATGAGACCTTCTCCATTGACTCCCACTGATGTTGTGTCCTTGGCCAAGACACTTAACCTCACTTTGCCTGAAGCCCCCACTGAAAGATCACGACTGTGTTGTCACCGACACAACATCCTCCTGTGGACTCACCACTTGCAGGTGGATCAGTGAGGGGCTGGTGCTCTGTGAATTGGGTGCATTTTTGGGTAAACTTTTTTATCCCAAAAATGTTTTAAGGGGAAGAAAATGGATGGATGGATGGGTTTTTGGAAATTATCATCATCCATAATTGTCCAACTTTATCTTCAACTTAACTACTTTAGTTCTTTAAACTCTGTTGCCTATAAAGTGATGCATTATGGATTTTTATTGTGGTAGAGTATCTCCTAGGCGCAGGAAATATTTTGTTTATGTTTATGTGAACAGCAGAGAGCCAACACAAGGAGACGCAGGGAAGTGCAATGGACTTGTTTTTATGTGATTAGGGCTGTGAGTTTATGGACTCATTCATGTACTGTATGGAGTACATTAATTTATTTATTTTTAAAACGTAGATGGTGCACCTAATAGACCAGCAAGTACACAAATTGGTCAAAATAAGGTGAAAAGAAAATGTGAGAAGATCAGCACTTTTTTGATTTTCTATATAAAACTTGAATTAGAATGACTTTGTATTGTTATTAAAGGCTGCAGAGTTTCAGTTTTACATCACTTTCAGCTTGTGGTGTGCCATGTACCATGGCTCAGGTTGGGGAACCTGCCTTAGATAGACCTTAGAAAAAGCTTGATTAGATTGCAAAGTACATACAGTATAGGTTACAACAAGTGTGACAGTTGGAGTGGACTAGAGGGATGGGCAGAGAGGGGTTCAATCTGACGTTTAGTGAGATCACCTCTATACAGCAGGAATTCGCCTTTAGACAGGAGCTTGATGTGTACTCAAGATCCCCTGGGAGCATACGCCTTTAATTATGGTCCCAGTGAGAATGCCATATCAAACCAAAGACCTATAAGAGGCGTAAATAGTGCATATTTCCAGTACACATGACGTATGGAAATATAGATTATTTGTCAAAGACAAAGGATGTTGCCAATTTAGTGGCCCTATTAGGATTAGATAGCTATATGACCTAGCAGGTGGACAAACGCAAGATTCTCCAAAGACTCTGATTGTGTATCCATGTTATGACTATAATATGCTCTGAGTGTCTCTGAAATGACACGTATGTCTTTCGATGTGTGACGTAACAATGACTATAAAAACTATTTGCTGACTCCATTTTGTCTGAAAAGAAAGAAACAACTAAAACCACTGGAACCTTAGAGAAGCCTAAATAAACTTCCAGCGCTTTGGCGCGCCACAATCCGTCTCTGTCTGTTTCATTCCTGACAGCCCCTTGCTTATTGCGGGGGTTATGTTCTAAAAAATAACCCGTAATATGGGAAATCTGCAAAGTAGCAGATGTGTAGCATGTTTTAAGGCCGTAAAACCCCTCACCACACACTTCATACACTTTAAGTGCAATTGTGGATATAGCCAACCTGTTTGTTATAGGTCTGAACAAAGCAGTCATAATAGGCTGTCAAAAGCAGTGTATACACTGAATAATACTGACTTCAATAAAAAGGTAACTGGCATGTTATACTAGCGGTTATATGATCTCATCTTCTGAGAAAAGATTGTTATCTTTAGCTTACTTTCTGTTTGGTGTGAGAGGGTGGTTCTCTTTCAGGTATCTGTCTAAAAAAGCTGATTGAAAGATGTGACAAAGGCCAAAAAACAACATGCGTGAAAACTAACTTTGATTTTGTTTCTCAAAATATAGTTAAATTTTTTGTGGTTTGAAAGTTAGGTATGTCAGCTTTAAATGTAAGTCTAGTTTAAAACCTGGTTAGGACGCATTTCAAAGTCAATGGCATTGATTACCTTTATGAAACAAATATAATTTAAATTGAGTTTTTAACAAAAAAATGGTGACGGGTTTTTTGCATATTAGTTTTTTTCAAGGTCTTGTTTTGGAAATGAAAATAGTGCAGTCTGTGTAAAGTAGTGCACCCTATGTAAATAGACAACAACATATACCAGTTTTTGTAGGCTCACCTTTTTCACCTCGTACTTGATTGCCAGTTTGACGCGGCTGAGGCAGGGTCTATTGTAGGCAGTGGGAGGGCACAGGTCCACATCTCCATTCAATATGGCTTCCACTTCCTCAGTGTTCCGGCACAGGTCCAACACCCCCACCACAAAGTCCTTACACTGCATGGAGAGCTTGCGGTAGTCATTCTGAAAGAGATATAAACTGTAGGTCAAGGCTCACTATTTAACCATTTTGCATCACCGAAGTAGAGGATGATAACAAGACCTCATTCTCAAACAGACTTAATTTATTGCCTTTTTATACATTGACATTTAGTGTAATCTAAATTGGATTTGCAATTAATCATGAAATAAAAAACAGAGTCATGGACACACCAATGTGAAGGAGTCAATGGTCCTCATTTATGAAACTTGCACAGAAATGCGTGTACATTTTGGTAGATTCCAAATACGCAAGATCCATGTGGGATTTATGAACGTGTGAGATCCGCCCAGATCTGAGCGTAACCTGCGGCTGTTGATGAATGCCGCGGCTGAAAACGAGCGTATTTATCATGCCTTTATAGTCACGCCTATACATTTTCAGCAACTGTTTCACGCCCCGTTTTTGCGACAATAAAAAGGAAGACGGCCAAGAAAAAAAACTTCACGGAGCAATAGATTGAGACCATTATGAAAAAAGTCTAATAATTTGGAAGCCTCAAAAGTGGCATCAAGGGGGCTCAAAAAAGTTAATATGGAAAGAGATGACAATATCTATTAACAGCGTGGGGCCTGTAACACGCACTCCTGAAGAGGTGAGTTTATTCATGTTTGTTTAAAAAGAAATATATGCTATATTATGACAAACAGTTGACAGAATTATTGTTGGAATTTATCAATTTAGGCCTACAGGTGAAAAATAATGGATCGACCTTAATATGGCAACAAAAAGGCGTTTAGCAAGCCATACAAGAAGTGCTCAGCAGACCAGGGGAGGACCACTAGAGCAAAGCATCCAAAAGAAAATATTGAGAAATAAATATTAAAAATATTAATGTAATAATCATCACCTCCAGACTCGGTGTATATTCTGTGCGTACCGTACGCTCACTTCCAGTTTGATAAATGCCGAAAGGGGTACATTTTTCCGTACGCCTCATTAACCCCTTGATTTGGCAGTACGCAAGTTTCGCCAGGTCTTCACCATGTTGGTGGACACCTGATCTACTGCAGACATGGCGGCATAGGTCTCAATATTATAAAAAACAAAAAAACAACTTCCTCACATGTCAGATTTCGTGGGGATTACAGATGAGATGACATGTACAGGCTCAGCAGTTCTCATTGTACAGTCTGACAGTACTGGATTGAACCAGAACTTGACAAATGGGATGGATATTGTAGACTGATTTACCAATTGACCTTTTAATTTAATTATTGTGTTTTGGGTACAATTTTCAGGTTAAAATGAATGATTTGGTTGTTTTGTTGGGAAGATACTGGTAATCTTTAAAGAGTATCTATTACATACTTTGTAAGGGATAATGTGTAGTAGGCAGGTCATTACCGGAAAATAAGTACCAACAGGGCGAAGCGGACCCCAACGCGTACCAACAGAACACACAAAATAAACTTCAGTCCACTTTTGTGAATGCCAAAAGGATTATTTAATGACTGCAAATAAAATAGTTCCCAAAGGTTTTCCCATGGCTATGCGAGTAACAGTTAGGCTAGCAACTACCAAACTAGAACTCTCTTGAACTGCATGAAAACTGAACAAAGAATTTTAAACATCAGCGGTGAGTGACCCAAACATACACTCAACCTAAATCCATAATTCAATCCTCTGCAAATGTGTCCTAAAATGTCCCGTAATGTATTTCCGGGTTTAACGCAATCATTTTTTCTCGCGCTCAACAGTATTTTTGTTATGAAACATTAACAGATCATTTTGAAAACATCCGTGCATGTATATTAAGAATGCATATGTATATTGTCTTCTCCGATTAACATTTAAATGGTATCGGAGCATCTTCTCTCGCATAGGAAGTAGTAGCGACGAAGTGGCCGGACTACTTGCGGAGTAATCTATACACCTGATATACAAGCAGAGATTGCGTTGCCATGGTCGTAATGTTGGTGAAGAGGGTAGCAGAGCCAAAACTAGGCATATTAATGTTTTTGGTAAGAAAGTAAGTAATCTTTATCCAGGCCAGAGTCACAAAGTAGTTTTTCAATTTCGAGCATATAGTCTTCTCATTCCACACAGAGATGGACGCGAGGTGGTAGATCGATTAGTGTTACTCTTCCAGCAGCATCCCTGCATAATGTCTGACTGTGTGGTGCATTAAAAACAGGTTGGGGATGTTGTGCATTAAAAGCGTATGCTTGAGATGCATGTGGGAAGAGGACTTATATTTTGTTATTTATTTATTATTTTGTTATTTGTTATTTATTTTTATTAATTATTAATTCCTTTATTAATTTATTCTTATTCCCAACTCATCAACCATAGAATGTATACATATAATAATTGTCCACTCACCTTTGGCCCTCCGCGGGCGGTTATCCCTCTCTAAGCTCGGGTCCTCTACCAGAGGCCTGGGAGCTTGAGGGTTCTGCGCAGTATCTTTGCTGTTCCTAGCACTGCACATTTCTGGACCGAGATGTCCGAGGTTGTTCCGGGGATCCGCTGTAACCACTCATCTAGCTTCGGGGTCACTGCCCCGAGTGCACCGATCACCACGGGCACTACTGTCACCTTTACCCTCCAGGCCCTCTCCAGCTCCTCTCTGAGACCTTGGTATTTCTCAAGCTTTTCATGTTCTTTTTTCCGGATGTTACCATCGCTTGGAATTGCCACGTCCACCACCACGGCTGTCCTCTGCCCTTTGTCTACCACCACGATGTCAGGTTGGTTTGCCATTACCATTCGGTCGGTCTGTATCTGGAAGTCCCACAGGATCTTCGCACGCTCATTCTCCACCACCTTTGGAGGAGTTTCCCACTTAGACCTTGGGGTTTCCAGCCCGAATTCATATATATATATATATATATATATATATATATATATATATATATATATATATATATATATATATATATATATATATATATATATACATAAAATAGGGGTATAGTGGTGAAGCAGCAAGGAGAGAGAGAGGTGTGCAAAATACACGATGACATAAATAGTGGTAATAGGTAAAGTATATAAGGTTAGTTTATGAGTGGAGTCTGGGATGCGTGGGGTGTATTGTTTGAGGTATGGATGGGGGGGTATGTCTTGAAATGAAATATAATCTGACATTAAGTTTTCCCATGTGGAGGTGTGTGTGTTGGTTTTGGATTTCCAGTTTATGAGTACTGTTTTTTTGGCGATAGCTAGCAACATTAGAAGATACTTTGATCTACTCTGATTGATGGGGAGTGTGGATATGTCTCCTAAAAGACAGAGGGATGGGACATTGGGATGTTGCAGCCAAGTGAAGTGGTGAGTGACTGAGTGACGGCTTTCCAGAATGCTTGGACCGGAGTGCAGTGCCAAAGAGCGTGAATGTATTTGTCCCTACAACCCTGTGTGTAGTGTGGGCAGATGTCTGAAGTGGATCCCATTTTTGATAATTTGTAACCGGTGTAGTGATATCTGTGTAGGATTTTGAATTGTATGAGTTGGAGGTTGGAGTTGGTGGTCATTGAGTACATATTGTTGCAGATTTGGGTCCAGAAGTTGGCACTGGGAGTAAATGCTAAATCTTGTTGCCACTTTGCAGTTGGAAGTGATTGTGTATTATCTGATTTGGTGATTATTTTGTATATTTTGGTGTTCAGTTTTTTTGGGGGAATATTTATGAAATCTGCAATTGTATCATGAAGGCCTAGATTTATTGTTTGGATGTAGATTTTTTTTTGGATTGCTGATTTTAGTTGTAAGTGTTCGAGGAAGCATTTACTCCCAATGCCATACTCCTGGGCCAACTGTGTCAGTGGTTTTAAACTGTTATTTGTGAGAATGTGATTGAGGTGAGTTATACCTTTATCTGCCCATGAATGGAAGTCCAGAGGTTTATTATTGCTTGTGAATTCTGGGTTGTGCCAAATTGGGGAGCGAATGGATGGAGCAAGGGGTGTGTTTGTTGGATCGTGACGTATCCACCAGGCTGTCAGAGCTGCCGATATTGTTGGTGTTTTGAAATGTGGGTATTTCTTTATTGATTGGTTAAGGAAGGGTAGGTCTGAGAGATTGATGTTATTGCAAAGTGATTGTTCAGTATCCATCCAGATTGAGTCAGATGTGTTTGAGTGGATCCATTTGTGTATGTACTGTAAATGATTAGCTAATGAGTAGTGGTGAAAATTTGGGGCATTGAGACCTCCCTGTAGTTTTGGTTTCTGCAGTGTTGCGAGTTTGATTCGGCGTGGTTTGTTTTTCCAGTAGAATTTGTTAATGGCAGAGTTGAGGGATTTAAACCAGGTATGAGTGGGTTGAACAGGGGTCATTAAGAGTATAGTTGATTTTGGGGAGTATTGACATTTCAACCTTAATCTCTTTAACCAAAGAGATTCTGCCTGTGGTTGAAATGGGGAGATTCATCCAGCGTTGTAAATCTTCTTCTAATTGTTTGAGTAAGGGGGGGAAGTTGAGAGTGAACAGCTCTGAGAGCCTGGAGGAAACCTTTTTTCCCAGGAAAGTGATGTGGTTTGAAGAGAGTGGGACAGGAGGTGTGATGGCTGCAACATCCCAACTGTTTGACTGTAGGGGGAGAATTGAGGATTTACTCCAGTTGATTGAATATTGTGAGAGTTTGGAAAATGTTTTGATGAGGTTTAATGTGTGGTGTAATGATGAAGGTGGAGAGGAAGATATCATCTGCATACAGGCTGATTTTGTGTTCGATTGATTGTGGTTGGATTCCTCTGATATGGTTATGATGCATCAATTTATATTGACAGGATTATTTATAGCAGTAAATCTGAAGTCTCACAAGTGTGAATGCAGCAGTGAGAGCGATACCTACCACCACAATAACTGAAACTAATGAGTAACAATTGATCCTAGAAATGTGCTAGGGACAGTAAAGATACTGTGCAGAACCCTCGAACTCCCAGGTCTCTGGTAGAGGACCCGAGCTAAGAGAGAGCAAGAACCACCCGAGGATGGTGAAGAATAACGGCGTAAAGGACAGTAAAGACTCGCAAAACAGGACCTGCGTGAAGTTGGCCCCCCACCCCACGCAAAAGTCAGTGAAAATAGCCCCAATCGTTTGTGCTGCGTTAGTGCTGGTTTGTGCAGAAAAAAATATCGTTTGTGCTGTTTTGGTTTTTAAGATATTAAATAATCTTTTAAAGGTCAATCTAAGTTCACGCAGCCCCCCCACATCGTCCAAACTGGACGAAAATGGTCTCGTTCGTTTGTGCTGCGTTAGTGCTGGTTTGTGCTGAAGAAATTTTCATTTGTGCCGTTTTGGTTTTTAAGATATAACAACTTTATAATGACGCGATGACGTCACAGTCCACAACGGTCCAAACTGAACAAAATAGATTAAAACAGTCTAATTATTACCGATCCCCTACTGTTGGTGCTGTTGACTCAGATTTATAAGGCAACTTTATAAGACAAGTTTTTGACCTTAAAAATGGGCCGTTGATTTACTTCAATCAGCCTTACTGGCGGTTAATTACTGGCGAGTTAATTGGCCAGCCGTGGACCTGCGCTGCACTCATTCAGTTGTTGTAGGAGCGCGGTTGATGCACAGTGAAGCGGTGGAATAACTGTCTTATGGTTGAAGTAAGACGGAGGTTTTCTGTTTTCAGACCGTGAACATGCAACCAGTGAGTATTTCGTTTCGTTAGCTTGCCTATTTTAGTGGAGAGTAAAGTGAATCTATTTGGCCTTATATCACCGTTGTTTCAACATACAAAGGCGTAGCTCAGCAGATCCGAATGTAGCCATTTATTTATTTCTTATAAAGTAGCGTTTTTGTCTTATGAGCTAATGTAGGCTACAAGTTAAAGTTTTGGACTAATAATTTGTTCCTTGAATGTTTTAGATATTTCTTTAAATCAACATTGATCGTGTTGTCGTGTCAGCTCAGCCAAGCAGTGCATGAGCCTTACGTGGAAAATTAGGGACTTACATGAACCAAAAAGCTGCCTTGCCTGTCATAACTTAGATGGCGGGTAAAAATTCATAGACAGTAGGCTAAGTGCATTATTAGACGTGACTCATGGTAACCCATAATGGAAAAAATGAATTCATGATGATACTGTAGGCCAAAGATAAATTTAATATTCAAACTTAATGAGGAATACTGAACAACATTAATGAACCCACGTAAAACATTGGATATATTGAGTGTGTGTGTGTGTACACACATTTTTTATATATAAAATATGTGTGTATAATAATACTTTCATTCATGTGTGTGTGTATATATATATGTATATGTGTGTGTGTGTATATATATATATATATATATATGTGTGTGTGTATGTATAAGAGAATGGGAATTTACATAACGGGGGATGAAATGTAAATTATTTTGTTTTTTTTGTTCACCCCCTACTCAGTCTTTGGTGTACAAGGCAGCATGCGGCCATATCCTGGTGTTTTCTGATGCTGCTGTGACACTGCTTCTCAGGTCGTCATACATCTCCCATACACATGGAGCTCTTTTGCAGTATGACACATAATGTCCAAGTGTGTCCCGGGTCAAGCCTTCCTGGTAAGCAATGATTGATCTCAGAGTGAATGTCTTCTCTTGGAGCACTAGATTGGAGGGGAACTCGCACAAGGGAAAGCCCCTCTGATTGTTTTTTGGTGCTGTAGATTCTGTGGACTGGCTTCCAAGGTCAGTGTCGATCCACAAAAGTTCTCCCACACTATAGCTGTGAGTTACTTTCCCAGCACACAGTACTTTTCCAGTGGTGAGGTCCTTAGTTTGAAATGCAGAGGGACACTGAGATGCATTTCTGATTGGCCTGAGGCAGGTAGACTCAGGCAGGTTAACTCCTTGTTCCACAGCAGTCTCAAGATGAGCCATGCCAGATGCCTGCAGGACAGCAACATTAGTGGAAACAAATGGAACCTCCCTTGTGGTATGTGTGCTGAGACTGCAGTACTGTGATGAACATTGTTTTGTGAAATAAACACTTGCAATATTCCTCATTGTCTTCTCAATTACAGTTGAGATGTGACACTGCCCATCAACCTGGAGGCCCCCAGACTTCAACTGAACAGCTTTAAACATCCCACACAGCAGCTCTGCCCTCTGAGAGTATGTTCGTTGGGTCACACCTTCTGTGGCCATGGCTTTCACCAGCTGGAGGACTTGGTTGTCAGAGACCTCTCTGCTAACAACATTTTCAAAAGAAGAACTGTCACAGTAAGCGCAACATAAGCACTCACAAAAAGCATCAAATGCGCAGGTGTTAAGCATGGAGATGCTGGATTTGCTGTGTTTTACTGGTTGTTGGTTGTTACCATTTTTTAATAGTCCCACACTCAATCTTCTCCTTTTCATAGATGGGTCTACGTGGAGCCATTCAGTACAAGGAGAGAGGTAGGAAGTCCTTTTCCTCTTTTTGGGTGGAAGAGCAAGGCCTCTCCAGTTTTCAACTAGTTCTTCTTCTTGTGTGCAACCAACTTTCATGGCAGCATCAGACTTCTCACAAGGGCAAGCAGCATCTTTTTCTTTGCTCTACACTTTGTGGATACATGGGTGATGGTTTGGCTGGTGTTTCAGCCACTGATTCTGAAGTTGCATCCTCTTTGTGTTTTGCAGCACAAATTCGCATGTTGCCTTCAATAAAGGAGAGATGGCAAGCAATGAAACGATCCACCCGTATAGGGAGTTTTTCATGTTTGAACAGGCCGTGCTTGAGGTATTTGAATTCTGCTTCAACAACAGCTGAGCTAGCAGTGACATCATTAGTTTTGAAGAAAGGGACCATCACTCCTGTCCACAGTGGTAATAAGCTCACAAGTCTTATTATTTGAGGAATGATCTCGGGGAGGTAGTGGATGTTGTCTCGATCCCCATTAGCCGCGGCAACTGACCTGCTTTCCTCACAAATATCTGTTACCCACTGTCTTAGGTCAGTGTGGATTGGATCACATGGATCTCCGTGTTCCAGTCCTTTTCCCTCTTCAACTGGAATGACGACAGATTCTTCTGCTATCTGGGCTTTCAGGTATTTTTTGCACAATTCAGATGTGAGAGGGATTCCAAAGCTGTCGCTGCCTTCTGCCTCACTGAGCGCCACAACGGTGATAGCATGTATTAGTTTTTTAGCATGTTTCAGGGACTGTGATTTAATGAGCTGTGCCATTGCCCTCACAAAAAAATCTTTAATCCGGGGTGTTTTCCTCTTCAGGCATTCCCACTGGCAGATCATCTTGATGCAGTGCGCGACATCAACACGGACAAAACAGGGAGGCAGTTTTGCACACTGGTTCCCTTGTAGGACACCGAAGCACTCATTGATGTAAGACTTCAGGTCAGGATGGGGAGTGAAAGCCTTCACCAGAGCACCAAGAAAAGCTAAAGAAAAATCACTTACAACTTGTTTTGGCACTGGCGCCCCTGCACGAATCCACTCTGTGAGCCACTGTGCTATTGCAACAGCATTGTGTCTTTCAGACAACATCTGGACCACAGGGATACTGGAGCTGTTTGGTCCCGTCAGAACTCCCTGATATAGGAATATGTGGCCAGATTTGCCGTTTGGTCGCACTAGTTTTTTCACCACTGAACCGGTTGCATCAAAAGTCACTGTCTGGTGAGTTTGCTAAAGCCTAGTGTACATCGACATAGAAACTGGGGACAACTAGTTGCAAGGCGGCTTTTGGCAACTGAGAGGAGATGGTGGGAGATGATCAGTTGCCGAAATCGGTCGATGTGCGCGCTCTTACAACTGGAGATAAACAGTCGGTCTCCAGTTTCAGTCAGTTGCCCGTGTTCTACTTTTCGGCAACTAGTTGTCCTCAGTTTCGGAGATATGACCCGATGTGCGCGCTCCATGCGCCGCTCCGACAACGTGTGTGTATTGCGTGTATTGCGAGCCCGCAACAGTTTATGTCAGAAAACACACTGTAGTTGAGGCCAGTTGCTGTCGATGTACGCGCTGTTATTCCCGAGACTGGTCTGCTACTTGCTAGTGCAACTGCTAGTTGCCCGTTTTCGTCAGATTGTCGATGTGTGCGGGGCAGCAACTCATATGCGACGGATATAATCAGTTGCCAGTCCGATGTACGCTGAGCTTTAGACAATGTCTTGTAATTGTGCATCTATGTGTGACTCCAATAGTGGCAGGAAAACTTATCAAGGCCAATGTCTTTGATGCTGCCACTGTGCGGAGCACTGTATTTTAACAGCTGCAGTGATATAATTGGATCTTTGTCCCCTAATTCCAAGTCCTTTTTCTCCTGTTTTGCTTTCCGCAGGGTAGCCAAATTTGGTAGATGGCTTGGCTCAGGATCTCCAAAGTCCATCAGTGTGGTTGCCTGTGACGCTCGCCACACATGCGGTTCCTTCCTGCCCTCACACAGTTCTGTTGCTACTTGCACACGCAAGTGTCCAGACATAAAGCGTTTGGAATGACCGGTGTGTTTTGTGTCCTCTATGTTTTTTAAATTGCACTTTAAGACCATCGGGCTGTTAAGTGCAGGCTTTTTCTGGCATTTTATTTCAAGCAGGCTAAGACACTCTTTGCAGTGGCCTCTTATCACTATGTAATTGGTTGTCTGTGAGGGATAAACCTTGGCTCTCTTAAATACAAATGTGCATGGGCTTTTCACCTCTTTCCAAATGTACTCATTTATAATATGAGTCCAGGTGCCAGGCTTCAAAATTGTATAATCCCTTTTTTAACACTTGTCGTTGTATTCCACCTCTTCAGGAATAAACTGTATCCATTTTTCAAATGGAACTAGCAGCTGAAATTCCTGATCATCTTTTACTCTGGGAGACTCAGTTATGTCTGTGTCACTTGTTTCTGGATCCTCGGTCTGAGCACTGAAACCTAAAGATGACCAGACATTGTATCTGTTTAATTTGACAACAGTATACAGGGCCTTTGCAGAGATTTTGTTTTCCAGCTGCTGACTCAGCTCTGTCCAGACTCTGGCTTTAGGAGTAGCTATCCTTCCCTTCTCCAGTAGTATGGCCTCCTTTGATGAGCAGAGAACTTCCAGAAGGGTATCTCTGTCTATTGCTGGCTGTTTGGGCATCTAGTTGAAGGAGAAGTGTCCAATTAGTATCAATCACTGTAATATTTGCACTAATTTGCAATCAATTTTGAGGGCTTCATTAAAACATTCTGTGTGTATGCATAAAGGAGGCCTGATGTTGCATGAAAGGCAAAATAAAATTGAATGGTGTTGCATTTGACATGATTCTATAGTTTTTACTTTTTTTTTCCCCAAATGTCTTCACACTTAAGTGTCTGAAAATGTGATATTTAACAATTTTCAGTCAATGAATATTTTTAATATACCAAATATATGCAAATTCATGTGTAAATCTAGCTGTTTTGTCTTTGCATTCATTGGTTTTTGCATTGTAGCATAATCTAAATTAGAAGAGGAATGTTGCTCTTTAAAGTCTCTTGTATTACCTGAGAATATTTTGAAATTTTACTTACCTTTTTTAAATCAGATGTTGAGATTATGATTAGGATATAGGCCTGCAGTAAAAACATTTTTTTTACTGGTGGGAGGGGGGGGTCCAAGAAAACGGTGATGATCCGTAATAAATAGGAAGAGCCAACAACTACACAAAGTTTTATATATTGTAAACCAAGGCATCATCGCGTCATTATAAAGTTATTAGGCTATATCTTAAAAACCAAAACAGCACAAATGAAAATTTCTTCAGCACAAACCAGCACTAACGCAGCACAAACGAACGAGACCATTTTCGTCCAGTTTGGACGATGTGGGGGGGCTGCGTGAACTTAGATTGACCTTTAAAAGATTATTTAATATCTTAAAAACCAAAACAGCACAAACGATATTTTTTTCTGCACAAACCAGCACTAACGCAGCACAAACGATTGGGGCTATTTTCACTGACTTTTGCGTGGGGTGGGGGGCCAACTTCACGCAGGTCAAAAACTGCTCTGACCCGGCGGGCGCGTGCACGGCAGAGGCGCGTTCACGCGAGAATGAAATATTGGATGAAATAAGAGCCTTAAGACAAGAGCACACAAAGGCCATTAATGATCACGGCAAAATGCTTAAACAGATGGAAACAGACATTAAAAGTGTGTCTGAGCAAATGACTAAGCTGGAGACGAGGACCACGGCTACAGAGGTGAGGCTGGGGGAGACCGAGGACAGGACCACGCGTCTGGAGAAGGCTGTGACCCTTCTGCTGGAGCAGGGAGCAACACTCGCTGCAAAGTGTGAGAGTTTGGAGGCGAGAACGAGGCGCAAGAATGTGAGGATACACGGGATTACGGAGGGAGCGGAGAATAATGAACCGAGGTGAAGTTGGCCGAACGTTTGATATTCGCCTGATATTCGCAAGGGACCGTCTGCAAATTGCAAGAGGTCAAAACGACTAATAAAGACTAAAAATCAACAAAGATATTTTTCCCAGAATTGATGGGTGTAGTAGCTCCCATTTAATGATAGCTACTACAGCCAAACTTTTGGGAAAAATATGGTTTTCCCCTTCACAGTAACAAAAATGAAATTGGAAAAATGTACTAAAAATCAACAAAGACTTTTCCCCCAGATTTGATGGGTGTAGTAGCTCCCATTCAATGATAGCTAGCTACTACAGCCAAACTTTTGGGAAAAATATGGTTTTCCCCTTCACAGTAACAAAAATGAAATTGGAAAAAATTACTAAAAATCAACAAAGACAGTTTTCCCAGTTTTGATGGGTGTAGTAGCTCCCAATGAACAATAGCTAACTACTACAGGCAAGAATTTGGGAAAAATATTGTTTTCCCCTTCACAGTAATGAAAATGAAACTGGAAAAATGTACTAAAAATCAACAAAGATTTTTCCCCCAGTTTTGATGGGTGTAGTAGCTCCATTTGAGCAATAGCTAGCTACTACAGGCAAGAATTTGGGAAAAATATGGTTTTCCCCTTCACAGTAACGAAAATGAAATTGGAAAAATTCACTAAAAATCAACAAAGACATTTTTCCCAGTTTTGATGGGTGTAGTAGCTCCATTTGAGCAATAGCTAGCTACTACAGGCAAGAATTTGGGAAAAATATGGTTTTCCCCTTCACAGTAACGAACAGGAAATTGGAAAAATTCACTAAAAATCAACAAAGACATTTTTCCCAGTTTTGATGGGTGTAGTAGCTCCATTTGAGCAATAGCTAGCTACTACAGGCAAGAATTTGGGAAAAATATGGTTTTCCCCTTCACAGTAACGAAAATGAAATTGGAAAAATTCACTAAAAATTAACAAAGACATTTTTCCCAGATTTGATGGGTGTAGTAGCTCCATTTGAGCAATAGCTAGCTACTACAGGCAAGAATTTGGGAAAAATATGGTTTTCCCCTTCACAGTAACGAAAATGAAATGGGAAAAATTCACTAAAAATCAACAACATTTTTTCCCCCAAATTTGATGGGTGTAGTAGCTCCCATTCAATGATAGCTAGCTACTGCAGGCAAGAATTTGGGAAAAATATGGTTTTCCCCTTCACAGTAACAAAAATTATATTGGAAAAATTCACTAAAAATCAACAACGACTTTTTTCCCAGTTTTGATGGGTGTAGTAGCTCCATTTGAGCAATAGCTAGCTACTACAGGCAAGAATTTGGGAAAAATATTGTTTTCCCCTTCACAGTAACACAAATGAAATTGGAAAAATTCACTAAAAATCAACAAAGATATTTTTCCCAGTTTTGATGGGTGTAGTAGCTCCCATTCAATGATAGCTAGCTACTACAGGCAAGAATTTGGGGAAACAAATGTTTTCCCCTTCACAGTAGGAATAATGATATTGCCCTGACACACTGTATTACAGACTATATCCTCTTCTGTGTGAATAACCCTGTACCAACTAAGAAGGTACGGTGTTTTTCTAACAACCACCCATGGATGACCTCTGAGCTTAAAGCCCTCCTGAACCTCAAGAAAAGGGCTTTCATCTCAGGGGACAAAGAGGAGCAGAAGAGGATCCAGCACGAGCTCCAGTGGAGGATCAGGAGGGCCAAGAGGGAATATGGGAAAAAGCTGGAGCAGAAGCTGGCCCAGGGAAACGCCCGTGACGTGTGGAGAGGCCTAAAGAACATCTCTTTCTGTGGACAAAGGGCCAGCGGGACAGATGAATTTAACCAATTCTTCAACCGGTTTGATTCTCCCCTCTCTCCATCTGCCCCCCCCCCCTCCCGCCCCCACCTCTTCAAACGTCCCCAGCCCAGTGGACACTGCCTTTGGCTGCCCTGGACACTGCCTTTGGCTGCCCTGGGCCCTCCTGCCCCCACATCCCCGCCCCCCCACCTCTGAAAATACACCCCAGTCTTCCCCCCTCTCCATCACACCGGACCCGGTGAAGAGTCAGCTCCAGCGACTGAAGCAGAGGAAATCCGCAGGACCGGACGGGATCAGTCCCAGGCTGCTGAGGACCTGTGCAGACCAGCTCTCTGGGGTCCTCAGCTACATGTACAACCTGAGCCTCAGCCTGCAGAAGGTCCCTGTCCTGTGAAAGACCTCCTGTGTGATCCCGGTTCCTAAAACACAGCACGCCAAGGAACCGGCTCACTACAGTCCAGTCGCACTGACCTCCCACCTGACGAAGACCATGGAGCGGCTCATCCTCACCCATCTCCGCTCCGTGGTCAGCCCCACCCTGGACCCGCTGCAGTTCGTCTACAGGCCCAACATCGGAGTAGAGGACGCCGTCATCCCTGCCGGGAGCGCTGTGAGGGTCATGTTCTTCGACTTCTCCAGTGCTTTCAACATCATCAGACCGGCATTGCTGCGGGGGAAGATGGAGGACGCGGGAGTGGACAGTAGCCTCACTGCATGGACCATCAACTACCTCTCGGACCGACCACAGTACGTGCGGCTGCGCAGCTGTGAGTCTGAGGTGGTAGTCTGCAGCACTGGGGTCCCTCAGGGCACTGTCCTCTCACCGTTTCTCTTCACCATCTACACCTCAGACTTCACACACGACACACACAGCTGTCACCTGCAGAAGTTCTCCGACGACTCCGCCATCGAGGGCTGTGTGTCTGAGGGGAACAATCTGGAATATCGGTAGGTTATCATAGACTTTGTCGACTGGTGTGAGCGCAACCACTTGTGCTTGAACACCAGTAAAACCAAGGAGATGGTGATCGATTTCAGGAGGAAACCACTTTCCCACACGCCTCTGAACATCCAGGGGGAGGACATTGAGCTGGTGGACAGCTTCAAGTACCTGGGTGTTCACATTAACAATAAACTGGACTGGTCCCATAATAAAAACGCCCTGCACAAGAAGAGCCAAAGTTGCCTCTTTCTTCTGAGGAGGCTGAGGTCCTTCTGAGGGGGCTGAGGTCCTTCGGAGTGAGCTAGCCTCTGCTTAGGACCTTTTATGACTCTGTGGTAGCATCTGCCATTTACTACGCTGCCGTGTGCTGGGCCCCGGGCAGCACAGAGCGGGACAGAAACAGACTGAAAAACCATGTTTTTCCCAAATTCTTGCCTGTAGTAGCTAGCTATTGCTCAAATGGAGCTACTACACCCATCAAAACTGGGAAAAATGTCTTTGTTGATTTTTAGTGAATTTTTCCAATTTCATTTTCGTTACTGTGAAGGGGAAAACCGTATTTTTCCCAAATTCTTGCCTGTAGTAGCTAGCTATTGCTCAAATGGAGCTACTACACCCATCAAAACTGGGAAAAATGTCTTTGTTGATTTTTAGTGAATTTTTCCAATTTCATTTTCGTTACTGTGAAGGGGAAAACCATATTTTTCCCAAATTCTTGCCTCTAGTAGCTAGCTATCATTGAATGGGAGCTACTACACCCATCAAAACTTGGAAAAATGTCTTTGTTGATTTTTAGTGAATTTTTCCAATTTCATTTTTGTTACTGTGAAGGGGAAAACCATATTTTTCCCAAATTCTTGCCTGTAGTAGCTAGCTATTGCTCAAATGGAGCTACTACACCCATCAAAACTGGGGGAAAAATCTTTGTTGATTTTTAGTAAATTTTTCCAATTTCATTTTCGTTACTGTGAAGGGGAAAACCATATTTTTCCCAAAGGTTTGGCTGTAGTAGCTAGCTATCATTAAATGGGAGCTACTACACCCATCAAAACTGGGAAAACTGTCTTTGTTGATTTTTAGTAAATTTTTCCAATTTCATTTTTGTTACTGTGAAGGGGAAAACCATATTTTTCCCAAAAGTTTGGCTGTAGTAGCTAGCTATCATTGAATGGGAGCTACTACACCCATCAAATCTGGGGGAAAAGTCTTTGTTGATTTTTAGTGAATTTTTCCAATTTAATTTTTGTTACTGTGAAGGGGAAAACCATATTTTTCCCAAAATCTTGCCTGTAGTAGATAGCTATTGCTCAAATGGAGCTACTACACCCATCAAAACTGGGAAAAAAGTCTTTGTTGATTTTTTGTGAATTTTTCCAATTTCCTTTTCGTTACTGTGAAGGGGAAAACAATATTTTTCCCAAATTCTTGCCTGTAGTATCTAGCTATTGTTCAAATGGAGCTATTACACCCATCAAAACTGGGAAAAACTACTTTTTAAAAGCAGTTTTTATTGTATTCACCAACCCATCTGCAACGTTCTGTCAAATCTTGCACTTTGCAGACGGTCCCTTGCTGAGAGCTTATCACACGTACGAGCGGAGACTTCATCTTCATTGTTTTTCGTGTTATAAATCGTCAGCTGCAGCCTAAGTAAAGTTTTTTTTATATTGGTGGCAACATTGTGAACAGTATTTAATACTACACTCTTCACTAAACTGAAAATACGGACAGACTTTGAATCCAGGGGGATTTTGTTCGAATATCAGGCGAATATCAAACGTTCGGCTAACTTCACCTCGGTGAATAAATGTCCTTATTATACGGCTCCTCACAGCAGCAGTAGAATGCTCCATTGATTTGAATGTAATTTCAAAACGTTCTACCGGTCATTATTTTCTATAACGGACCTCTCAAAACAATAATGACCGCTGCCCATGGCAACGCACTCTCTGCTTGTCTTTCAAATGCGTGGATAACTCCGCAAGTAGTTCCGGCCACTCCTGAGCTAGCCACGCTCAATCAACACACTTAAATGTTAATCGGAGAATACTTATACATATACATTCTTCACACACGTGCACGGAAATTTTCAGAATTTTCTGGTCTTGTCTTCATGACAAAAATACTATTTCTCTGCGTCAAAAAGCGATCGTGAAAAACCCGGAAGTAGTTCTGGCCGCTCAATAAACGCTAATGCCAATCAATCAACGCAATTGAAGTCAATAATTCCCTTTGACTGACGTATCCAAAATCGATGCAAG